TAAGGGGTCCTGCGAGGCTCGAAAACATTGATTTTTCTGTAACAATGTGATCGCTGAATAATGCTTCGGATTCTCATTTTAGAGATCCACAGTGTGATGTGTTGCTAGAATTAACGCTTAGATGCATTTACACATGTGCTATTTAATAGCCACTGGGGTTTTCATTTTTTTGCACTATAAACAAAAAAAGAGCAAAAAATTTGAAAAAAAAAGTTTTTCTTTGTTTCTATTATAAAATGTTGCAAACAGGTAATTCTTCTCCTTCACTGATGTTTGTTGATGAGGCTGCACAGATGGGCACAGATAGGCAGCACTGATGGGCACTGATGTTGCTGCACTGATATGCAGCAACAATGGGCACTGATAGGTGGCACTGATAGCCTCGACTGACGGCACTGACGGGCAGCACTGCTGGATGCAACTGCTGGGTGGCACTGCTGGGCATCATTGATGGGTGGCACTGCAGGACACTGATGGGTGGCACTGCTGGATGGCATTGCTGGGCACTGATGGGCGGCACTGATAATCAGTGCCCTGATTATCAGTACAGATCTGCTCTGTGACATTTGCCAGTTATTGGCAGTACTTTCCCGACGCTGTGATAGAGTGCTGAAAGTGCTGCCGATAACCAGCAACTGTATTTACTTTGTGATCTGCTGTGTCATTGGACACAGCTGATCACGTGGTAAAAGGCTGCTGTGATTGGCCTTTTACCTCATCACGTGATCAGCTATATCCGTAGGAGACAGCGATCACTGACAGCGCCGGGTGTTCGCCACTGGGGGTGCACTCTGGGAGCACATCATATGACACCCTTCCAGAACTGGATGGTTGTAAAGTGGTTAAAGCCTAGGTGCGCATTGACACACAGGCTAACATGCAGGGGCATTCAAAGACAAGAAAAAAATGTCAGATACCCCTTGTGGGGTTAGTAACACTTTTCAGTTTTTCAGCTGCCCCTAGGGCAGGGGTGGGCAACTGTGGCCCTCCTGCTGTTGTAGAACTACAAGTCCCATGAGGCATTGCAAAACTGACAGTTACAACCATGACTCCCAAAGGTAGAGGCATGATGGGACTTGTAGTTCATCAAGAGCTGGAGGGCCACAGTTGCCCACCCCTGCCCTAGGGGCAGCTGAAAAGTGTTACTAGCCCCACAACAGTAAAATCAGTCTGTATATGCAGTAAAGCATGCTTGTTATACTCACTGTAGAACCTAAGGGGTTAATCCTCTGCATTGTGTAAAAAGGCTGTTTGATCCTGACTTCTCTGATCCTCCCCTTCTTCCAGTGTCCCCCTCTTATCTCCTGACAAGACACATTGTGTGGAGTCACTCTGCACATGCTCAGTTTGGTGTGTATTGCTAGAGAGGTTTTTTTTTTTTTCTTGGGAGAGTGCATGTGGTCAGCACAGGGCCAATCAGCACTGTCCAGACGGAGGCAGTCGGAGGTCAGGGGTTCTGCATCCTCCTAAAGCAGAATGAAAACTCCTCCTACAATCTTTAACATGTTCTCTGCTGAACACTGATAGAAGTCACAAGACTGCTCTAACTGCTGATGAGAAAAGGTATTTAGCAATTTATATTTACTAAAATAATTTCACTTCCATGTTGTGTGTACTGTGGGAGACCAGATATAGTGAATGCAGATTCCGGGGTTTAGTAACACTTTAAAGGAGATTGTACAACAAGGTTGTATAGTGTATGGTCAACCCAAAGCCCATTATGCACATGGTGTGTCTGTGCTACCCACAGAAACCAATTAGATTATCCTATGTATTCCTAATGCATATCAATGGATTTAGATGATCTGATTGGTTGATATGGGGAGAATGGATGTCTCATGAAAATTAAGTGAAAATGCCCACCATGGCAGATGCCACTAGGCCAATACAAGATTAGTTGTTATAGGAAACAGCTTCAGTGTTTCAGTTGTCATAGGTTACCATAGGTCTGACTCTCCTAAAATATTGGCATCACTAGTTGCTATGGGTACTGGCTTATTTGCCTCCAAGAGTCCACAGAACTCATCATCACACTTTGGACCTCATTCAGTCACCACTTCTGGTGGAAAATGCGACGTGCAAACATCACTAACCCAAAACAGCCAATAAAAACCTGAACCAGAATTGAATTGATGAGGCTGGCACAGTGTGGATTTTGCTTGGTTGCTATAGCCACAGCAGTTCACACTTTGCTCCTAGCACTGTGTAACTGAATACTCCCAATTAATAAATATCAGCCACCATACCCCCAGGTTCACACCTAAGCGTTTTTTTTGCAGCGTTTTGCAGAAACGCAGTACAGTCCATTTAGCACGATTTCCTATGGGACATGTTCACATCTGTGCGTTTTCACCAGGTGCATTTTTTGGAAAGGGTCAGGGACTTTTTTTTAACGCAAAACATTGCGTTTTTGGTTCTATAGACTTCAATGGGAACGCTGCAGAAAAGCATGTATTGTGTTTTTGATATATTCTTGCTGCGTTTTTGATGCGTTTTGCATTTAAAATATGCCAAGCAACAAAAAAAAAAAAAAAAAAACGCATAAAAAATGCAGCAAAAATGCAAGTGCAAAAATGGAAAACGCAACCTGCATAAGTGTGAGCCTAGATTAAACCTGCAGATGAGGGACAAGCAGACCAATCAAACAGCTGCAAAAAGTCTTAATGACTTATTTTGTTTGTAAACATGCACACCCAGGACACCTGAGCATTACTTGTTGTTCTTGTGAAGGAGGGGCGGACCAGCTAATCTTGGGAGGAACAATGGCAAACAGGGAAGGTTTTAACAATTGTCAGCTTGATCTTCCCCAATAGGACAAGGGTTGTTGGATGCTACCATATTAAAAGCTGAACTTCAGACACAAAATTGGCAACTTAAATATATTCCTTAATAGCCACAAAGGATATAAATCTACTCTGTTAACACCAAATGCATTTTTGCAAACCCAGATATTACCTTGTAAAAGTAGCAGTGACACGATCACTGTGCTGTACATAGTCTGTGCAGAGATCAGGGCTGTGGGAGGGACCACATGGCTCCTCCTACTACAGGCTGCCTATAGAAATTTACTAGAGGGGCGGAGAAAAGACCAGTCACCCTGCACAAGGAGAGCGAACAGCAGTGACTGGTCTTTATTACAGGGATCTCCTGCATAGAGGCAAAGAAACACACTGGATTACTACGCAGATCTGGAAGAACTACACAAAGCACATCAAGATTCAAGATAAAAACTAAACATGTATCTTGTATTTAGATGATATTTAGTTATCCTGGAGTTCACCTTTACAAATGTGTCATCCCCAACCAGCCCTAAATGGCTGGATTAAATGATGTTCATCCTATATCTACGGTCCGGGACAGACTGATAAAAGTCCGATTTAAAAAAAAAAAAAAAAGTCGTTGGTGACCCTGTCAACACTCAAGACTCAATATTTTTTTTCTAGTGTAGCCTAAAGAATAAAAGCTGCTGGAAACACCTGTTTTTTTTAGTCTTCCTCTTTCCCAAGTTTATATAAATTGCAGTAAAAAACATAATTTCATACCTTTATAATAACTAACCTTAAAAACCTTCTGTGGCTTCTGTATCGACCCGTCCAGCCAGGATCCTGTTGATCAGTCTTTAGATGTAAAAGACCTGCATTAAGCCCATGTTATATCCCACAGTGTCACATCAGGAGCAAATCTCTGGTGGTCCGGAGGATAAAGCATTCTCTCTTGGATTACTGTAGATCATTAATTCCATTTTAACGAGTTGTGTTTTTCCTTTCCATCCTAGGAGAGGCTCTGCCTGTCATGCAGAGCTTAGGCCTTGACCCTGATCCCATGGTGACAAAAAAGGGTTAAAGAAGACTACCCAACCCCCTCTTCTCTTTCAGGCTATTTCATATTAATGGTAATGACACTAAGCAGGATGGCAAGCACAAAATAATTTTCCCTATACCTTGCGTGTGTGTGACACGAAACATAACAAGGGAGCTGTGATACATGACCTGACCTGAACATATGCTGAACGTTAATTAAACAGCTCAGCGTATAACGGTCTATGGAGACCATTATAAGGACTGTTAGTTTGGTTGTATGCTATCATATTTTTTTTCTTTTTGTCATTTTCTTCTTTTTAAAACATAATAAATATATATATTTTTTAAATTTACTTATACAAGATGGTGCCATTTTTTTTTTCACCTGAAAAGGGTCCTAAAAATTGAGTACTAAACTGACATTATGTAACATTGAATTTTAATAAAGTATTTTGTAAAGAAATAAGCCTACATGAGTTAATAAATTAAGGCTCACATATATAGATTAATTCACAATATTTCTTCCCGAAAAAAAATATTTCCTGCTATATTCAAGAGCACCAAATTCACAGCACGGACTAACGTTACCATGACTTTGTTCACAAGTGTATAACTTATATATAAATTAGATTCTCTCCGCAATATATATATATATATATATATATATATATATATATATATATATATATTAGTACAAAATTAAATTCTGTCCATTAAAATATGCTGTACAATATATATATATCAATTAGGTGTTGCAGGACAGGACTGGCTAATTAATGCTTTTTTAAAAAGTTTCCTTTTTTTCCTTTTACAATTGTATCTCCTGCTTTATCTTTGCAACTTTGTGGCAGTACGCCTCCAACTTTTAAAAAATAAAAAATCTTTGTTTGTATTCCAAAGTGAGGGGAGGGACAGCTAACTCCAACAAGAAACAGTTACAAAATATATCTGCATGATTGGAAATACTGCAAAAGTCAGTAACAAAACGTGTCTTCAACAGCAAATACTGTTTTGATGCTACCAAGAGAGGACCAAAAAAAATTCTCTATTGTAAAATGTATAGGTCTCTTTTTTTATCTTTTAATAAAAAAAAAATCCATTGTTCGATCGTGTCCTGTGCTAGTTTGTTCATTTAGGTACCATGACCCTATAGGTCTGTTTTCTCTGTTAGTGTCCAGACACAGAGCATATAAGGATTTTCTAAGGTCCACATTGCTCTTGGCTTTGAGGTTGGATTTTCTCTAAGGAACCAGTACCATTGTTGATGCCTTCAACATTCTCTAAGTGGACTACAGATTTGTTGAGGGAAACCTTGCTGGGACTTCGCTTAAGTTCCCCAGCACAACTGCCCTGGGCACTGCTGCCCTCCTCTTTGAGGATGACCTGCTCTTCGTGGTCAGTTTCTCGGTGGTAGAAGTAATTAAAGTTGGAGACTATAACAGGGACGGGCAAAGCAATGGTGAGGACACCAGCGATGGCACACAAGGAACCCACAATTTTGCCCCCAACAGTTACTGGCCTCATGTCCCCATAGCCCACTGTGGTCATGGTGACCACGGCCCACCAGAAAGCATCAGGTATACTAGAAAAATGAGACTCTGGATCATCAGCTTCAGCAAAGTAGACAGCGCTGGAGAACAAGATGACTCCGATGAAGAGGAAGAATATTAGAAGGCCCAATTCCCTCATGCTAGCTTTGAGGGTTTGCCCCAATATCTGAAAGCCCTTGGAGTGCCTGGACAGCTTGAATATCCTGAAGACCCTGACCAGGCGGATGACCCTGAGAATGGCCAGAGACATAGCCTGTTGGCCATTGTTAGTCTGCTGCTCGGCCAGCTCTGTCCCCAGGGTGATGAAGTAGGGGATGATGGCCACAATGTCAATGATGTTCATGATGTTCTTGGAGAATTCCGACTTGCTGGGGCAGGCGAAGAACCTGACCAGGAGCTCGAAGGTAAACCAGATGACACAGGTGGTCTCTATGATGAAGAAGGGGTCGGTCAAGCCGCTGGGGGGAGGGGGATGCTGGGTGTCATTAAGCACCTTGGACAGCGTCGGGGGCAGCTCGTTCTCATCCCTGAACTCGGGCAGGGTCTCCAGGCAGAAGGTGATGATGGAGATGAGGATGACCAGCACCGAGACGATGGCGATGCCCCTGGCGGAGCTGGAACTCTCGGGGTACTCGAAGATCAGCCAGACCTGGCGCTGGAACTCGTTCCTGGGCAGAGGCTTCTCCTCATCCTTCAAGAAGCCCTCGTCCTCCCGGAACCTCTCCATGGCCTCCTCGCCCAGCTCGTAGAAGCGGATCTCGTCGGCGAACACGTCGATGGACACGTTGACCGGGCGCCTGATCTTGCCCCCGGACTGGTAGAAGTAGAGGATGCCGTCGAAGCTGGGTCGGTTCCTGTCGAAGAAGTACTCGTTCCTCAAGGGGTCGAAGAACCTCATCCTCTTCTCGGGGTCGCCCAGTAGGGTGTCGGGGAACTGGTTGAGGGTGGACAGCTGGGTCTCGAACCTCAAGCCAGCGATGTTGATGATGACCCGCTGGTTGCTCTCGTGGTCCATGATGCCCAGCTGGTCGAAGTGGTGGTCCTCCTCCTCGGGGTGGGCATGGGGCTCGTCTTCCTCCAGGCGGATCACCGTGTCGATGTCATCGCCATCCTTGATGTGACTGCCAGGATAGCTCATGATCATGTCGCTGCTGCTGTGCAAACCCCCGCCCACACCTCCTCCTCCTCCACAGCCACCTCCTCCTCCTCCTTCTTCTCCTCCGGTCCCCGGTGGCTGATGTCGCTGCTGAGGCTGTGGAGGAGCTCGCTGGAGCCCTTCCCTGCCTTGGCTGTAGTCGTTCAGCCAAGATGGTGCCCTGGGGATTTGGAGCAGGTCCCTCCTGTCCGCTGTGCTGCCAGCCATGCCACTGCCCCCTCCATCCTCCCCTGCGCTGCCAGCCACGGCTGGGGCTCTCCCGTTCTCCAAACTCACCAGAGCGATCTCCATGCCATGCAATCTTCATCAGAACCGACCATTCTGCACCCACCTCCTCCCCTTCCACTCTGCTGGGGGGCTCCGATGATGAGATCTGCTCCTCCCAACAAAAAAACCAAAGAAAGTAGGTCCCTCCAGAGCAAGGCTGTCTACACAAATAACACCAGGAGAGGGGACCCGGATGAGGGACCAATCATTAATCCTGACGTCAAAGATGCTTTTTATTCCACACCCCCCCACCACACACCCACACCCCCCACCCCCCAACACCCACACACCCACACACACTACACCACACACCTACACACATCTACACACATCTACACACATCTACACACATCTATCTACACACATCTACACACATCTACACCCCCATCTACTCACACCTACACACACCTACACACATCTACACACATCTACACACATCTACACACATCTACACACATCTACACACACAACACACACCTACACACATCTACACACATCTACACACACCTACACACATCTACACACATCTATCTACACACATCTACACACATCTACTCACATCTACTCACATCTACACACATCTCACATCTACACCCCCATCTACTCACATCTACACACATCTACACACACATCTCACATCTACACACATCTACACACATCTCACATCTACACACATCTACTCACATCTACTCACATCTACACACATCTACATACATCTCACATCTACACACATCTACTCACATCTACACACATCTCACATCTACACACATCTACTCACATCTACACACCACATCTACACACATCTCACATCATCTACACACACATCTACACACATCTACACACATCTATACACATCTACACACATCTCACATCTACACATCTCATCTACACACATCTACACACATCTATACACATCTACACACATCTACACACTTTCTCTGGCTGGGTTGCAATCACAGAGATGTTATTTTAAGCTTACTGACTGTCACAGCTTGGGAGTAGTTAATTCTGCCTTTTGTGACATAGGGGAGGGGAAGGGGGCTTCTATTTCGCTCTCTGTTCTGCAGCAATGCAAAGTATTCCAGCGCAGGATCCAGATCACACAATGGGGTGTAGAAGATGGAGGTGTGAGTGGAATAAAAAAAAAAAAAAAAAGTGTACGGTGCCTTACAGCAGAGCTCCACCCCTCTTCAACAACTTTTTCCCATTTCATTTCTATTACATTCAATGTTTGGATATTGCCGCATTGTTTATTTAAAAAAAAAACCTTAGAGTTGCCAGCACTTCCAGTCCACTCCTCCAGGGCTATTACATCATTAAGATTGTCCCGTTGACTCCTGGGATACCTGTGGCATCCATTCCAGGAGTCAACGGGCATCCTCCACCTGCTATCAACAATGTTATCTACACTCACCGGCCACTTTTTTAGGTACACCTGTTCAATTGTTTGGTAACACAAATTGCTAATCAGCCAATCACATGGCAGAAACTCAATGCATTTAGGACTGTAGATGTGCTGAAGTTCAAACCGAGCATCAGAAAGGGGATTGAACGTGGCATGGTTGTTGGTGCCAGACAGACTGGTCTGAGTATTTCAAAAACTGCTATTGGGATTTTCATGCACAACCATCTCTAGGGTTTATAGAGAATGATTTTATATGGTTTGTGTGGACAAAAATGCCTTGTTGATGTCAGAGGTCAGAGGAGAATGGGCAGATTGGTTGCTGCAACATTCAAATGGTAGGGTCAAAATTTGGTGTAAGCAAATTGAAAGCATGGATCCATCCTGCCTTGTATTAACAGTTCAGGCTGGTAGTGGTGGTGTAATGGTGTGGGGGATTTTTTCTTGGCACTAGCAAGGTGGATCTAATAAAGTGACCAGTGAGTGTATGTGTTTTTTTACTGCGCAGGCGTGAGAACAGGAGGTGTATGCTGGGTAGCCAGCTGCATGAAAATATGGAAGTATATGGGTGCCGGCTTCGGATGCCCACACAAGCAATAGCCACCACCAGAAATTCATGAGGAGAGTTACTTCTGATTTTATGAAAGTAAAAATTGCACACAGATATCAGACAGTAGCCAACGTAGATGCAGTGATGTGTAAGAGACTAGAGTTTGCTTTTATTTGAATTTATGATTGGAGACTGTAGCTTCTCCTTTAGGCTCAGAGGGGGTGTTCAATTATTTTTAAATTTTTATGTATGTACAACCCCATTCCAAAAAAGTTGGGATGCTGTGTAAAATCTACAAAATGCTATGATCTGCAAATTTCATAAATCCATATTGTATGCACAGTAGGGGTGGTACAGTGGCTTAGTGGTTAGCACGTTTGCCGTGCAGTAAATGGGTCATGGGTTAGATTCCCAACCATGGCACCTCTGCATGGAGTTTGCATGTTCTCCCTGTGCTTGCGTGGGTTTTTCTCCGTGTACTCCGGTTTCCTCCCACACTGCAAAGACATGCTGGTAGCTTAATTGGCTTCTGTCTAAATTGTCCTAGTTTCATCCCTGGCCATGCGGGATCTACTGCATGGTAGGGGTTGGGGAAAGACCTGGCAACCTACCCTGTAAAATAATTGCTAAGAGAATTCATGGAAAAAGTTGCTTACGAGTGACGGTCCATGCATTCGCCAATGGTCGGATACGACCCGAATGGATAGATAGATTCACAGTAGAAAATGGGAAACGTATCAAGTGTTTAAAATGAGAAAATGTACCATTTAAAGAAAAAAAATTAGGTCAAAATTGAAATTGATGGCAGCAAAAGGTCTAAAAAAAAAGTTGGGACAGGGAAACAAAAAGCTGGTGAAGTAATTGGTACTAACAAGGAAGAGTTGGAAGAACATTTTTAAACCAATTACACTAATTGGCAACAGGTCAGTAATAGGACTGGATATTAAAAAAAGCACCTTAGAGAGTCAAAGTACCTCAGAAGTAAAGATGGGCAGATGTTCACCAATCTGTGAAAAGCCGTGTCTAAATATTGTCAAACAATTTCAGAATAATGTTCCTCAACATAAAATTGGAAAGACTTTAAATATATCATCATCTACAGTACATAATATCATCAAAAGATTTCAAGAATCTGGAGAAATCTTTTTGCACAAGGGACAACACCTTGAACATGATCCAGGAATGCCGCTATCTTCTCTGGGCCAAAGCTCATTTCAAATGGTCTAATTTAAAATCAAAATTTGACATTTCTTTTGGAAACCATGAGCACTGTGTCCTCTGGACTAAAGAGGAGAGAGACCTTCCAGCTTGTTATCAGCGATCACTTCAAAAGCCTGCATCTCTGATGGTATGGGGGTGCATTAGTGCATATGGAATGAGCAGATTGTACATCTGGAAATTCACAATCAATGCTGAAAGATATATCCAGGTTTTAGAGCAGCATATGATCCCATCCAAACTATGTCTTTTTTCAGGGAAGGCCTTGCATATTTCAACAAGACAATACTAAACCCCATACTGCATCTATGATAACAGAATGGCTTCGTAGTAGAAGAGTGTGGGTGCTTAAATAGCCTGTCAGCAGCCCAGACCTTTCACCAACTGAAAAAATTTGGTGCACCTTGAAATGAAAAATACGACAAAGAAGACCCAGGACTGTTGAGCAGTTAATATCATATATCAAGCAAAAATGGGATAACATTCCTCTGCCAAAACTCCAGCAACTGGTCTCCTCAGTTCCTTGACATTTCGTTATTTTCGTTAGTATCCCCGTGTTGTTAAAAGAAGAGGGGATGCTACACCATGTTAAACATGGTCCTGTCCCAACTCTTTTGAGGTGTGTTGCTGCCAACAATTAAAACATTATTTATTTATTAAAATGGTACATTTTTTCAGGTTAAACATTTGATATGTTTTCTATTTTCTATCGTGAATAAAATATGGGTTTATGAGATTGGAAAATCATTGCATTCTGTTTTCATGTCGATTTTACAGAGCTTCCTAACTTTTTTTGGAATTTTGGTTGTAATTATTTAGGCTATTTACATGTTTTTTGTGGACTAGAGTCATCAGCAGTTGTGATGGCTACATTTAGGTATTTCACTCAATGAATGAAAAAAAAAACCCAAAAAAAAAACAATGGCTATTTACTATTTCCTACATGAGATGTTTCTTATTTAATAAATAGACTTAGATTTCATCAGTAGGAAATATTTTGGGTAACTTTTTTTATTCATGCTAGCACTACTTCTACAACTACTGATCATGATGCTAACGATGGCGGTGATAATAATAATAGCAATAATAAGAATAGTAATGCCATTGTTATACTACACAGTAAAATTGTTTATA